AATACTGTGAAAACACTGAAAGTATTGTGAGCCTTTATTCTCTCCCTGTGTATTTACTCCCATTTTGTGCAGTTCATTACCCATCTTTAAGGTATCTTTCACATTATGGAACAGGAAACGAGATAGGGCTGATTTGCTGAAAGCTAATCTTCAGTGTTTGTGAGTTCCTAGATCAGCCAGTATTCCACTTGATCGGTGAGGCTATTTTTCCAAAGTGAATTCTAATTAAATGGCTGAAGCTGTTTAATGTACTGCATAAAAATCCAAAGAGACTTCCCGAACGTTCAGAATTGGAAAACAAAATGACAGGTGCAGGGTTTCCATACTTGTTGAGAATCTAAATGTTTCTGACTGAGTTATGTCTGGATTCGTTTAGGTTTTTTCCTCCCTTCCTAGCATCACAGGGATTTTAAAGGCTGGGGATAAGAGAAGCCAGTACTAATTAAGTAGTGTCATATATTCATGTGGAGGGATCTAATATTCTCGGGTCTGCTTCTTTTTTTTTTTCTTTTCCTTTTTTGTTAGCATTAACAACATTAAAGCTATATAGCTGGAAGCAATTTTATCACATTGTAATGATGCTTTCCGTGGCCGTATATAGCTTCGGCAGGGCCTGTCGGAAGCCAGGGTGCACTCTCTCTAGCTGTTCGGTCTTCATTCGCTAGGACATCACACCTTTAACCAACTGAAGCTGGTGAGCTAACAAGTGAGAGGGACCTCCTGTTGTCCTCAGCTTTTATTTTATTTTGTATTGCGGCTGTTTTCTTTCTTTTCTTTTTATTTTCCTCTTCTTTTTTTTAACTTTCACAGCTTTCAGGAGGAATGATTGCAAAGAGCACAAACACCGCTGCACTCAGGGCCCCTGCCAGTGGGAAGGCAAAATCCAATTGCTCCCCAGACCGAATGTTCAGCTCCCGAACCTATCTGCATTTGCCAACTAATTTATAGCCACTGTGCTTTTTTTGTGTGTTTGTTTTTTTAAGTGGAAAAATATGGTGTAACTAGATGATACATTGAACTGAAATTTGCATACTGTTTCTTGCTGCTGGCATAGTTCTTTGTCGTACTTCTCTAAGTTCAATAAGTCACTGCCTACATTTATTAGGACCATTTATATATGGAATTTGAAAATCCTGTTTTTCTAGGTCTGTCATTAATTTCTGTTTTTCTAGGTCTGTCATTAATTTCTGGTTACAAGGACAGAATTTTGACAGTTTTCTTTAAAACTCGTACACTTAGTGCAGTGCATTATATTTCAAGGAAAGGTGAATTTGATACCTAACCCGATGTGAAAGCCAACATGGTATAGTGATCCCTGCCTTGGGGACCCTATTTGGGTGGAAAGGAAGCATAAAAATGTTTCATATAAAATAAATTTAAATAGCATGTTGGACTAAGATCTGGGAGGTCCAGGTTCTGATTCCTGACCTGCGACACGCTTGCTGGGTGGCCTTGAGCCAATTGCATATTCTCAGCCCAACCTTGTTGAAAATATAAAGTATAAAATGGAGGAGGGGGGAATGGTGTAGAAGGGCAGGATAATATGTACTTAATTAATTTAATTAACCCACTTCAGGGCTACAGACTGGCGATGCTCCACGCTCAGGAATTCCATGTGGATAGGTAGCAGTCATGCCACTTAAGAACTTCTTGTGTTACAACTACTGCATAGGAATTGGTTCTGCTTCTGCATGGTGACAGCAATAAAGAGGCCTGCTCGCTTTCTGAATTTCCAGTAGGCAGAGTTTTTTGCACACATGGTGAAACATATGTATACGTTAATCATACGTGCTGACGTATGCTTGATTTTTCCTACATTTGGGCTGCATCTGTAAAGGAAAGTAGTTTTGTGTGTGTAGTGTTTCTCAGGAACTGGCAATGCACAACAATGACTGAAAGCAAGCTGTGTTTATCACACTGGCTAGAACTTGTTGAAAGCCATATGAAAAGGAGAAGGGTTTCACCTCTGAATTTGTTACAGAATAATATGGTTTCATAAATAGTTTAGTAGTATTGAAGATCACTCCAAATATGAGCAGTGTTAATTTGTTACACAGTGTGAAGGGGGAAATCCTAATTATAGCCTTGTTGCTAAACAAGTGAGAAAGACCTTACAAACAGCTCGAGGCAGCAGGCCAAAAGTGGCTAAGCTTGGAGATCGGACTGGGTCACTGAGCGAGAAAATACTTCTCCGTGAAGATTCTTGACTAATACACCCACATGATGGGTGACTAGGATGGCTTCCTAATACAGATGTTTGTAAGTGCTGGAATATTTCGCTCTCTTTGGTGTGTAATTTTCAGGAGACTTAAGACATATCAAATCTATAAAATAATGCTTTTTAGACCAATGTATTGGTGTCTGAATGCAATTCATAAATACCAGGCTCCAGCACTGGGCAGCTCCCATTCCAGGCAAGCAGTTCAGAAAAACACCATAGTTGATGGTACCGACATCACTGAAGAATCCATACTGATCTGAAGAATCCATACTGTCACACTTCTCCTGTCTCTCTCTCCCAGGAAGGCAATCAACCAGTCACCAAAGTAGCTTCAGTTTTTAAAGCCAAGCTACCTGCCAGATTGTACTGGGACCAGATAATTTACATTAGTCAGGAACACATGTAACTTTGTCATCACCCCCCACTTGAGCCCTACCCCCTTGAAGGGAAATTAGAAACCACCTGATGGGGGGGGGGTCTCTAGGAGAACAGTTGTTTCCTTCACAGTGGTCAGGACCACTCCCTCATAATGAGGCTGTAATGATTCCTTGTTTTATATGTGTGTGTGTCTCTTTAAAAGTTTGGTTGCATGGATGAGATATATTAGAGTGGTTGAAGAGACAAGAGTGGTGTGATTGGTGATTGACAGAGAGGGGGAGGGGTTTTGGAAGTGGTTCTGAGTGGATGAATATGTATGTCTGTCAAGAGTGACAGTCTCAGGTTTGACAGTTGATAAAGACAGTTGATAAGTTAGTTCGTTCGGAGGTCTGTGAGAGAAGCAGGGAGTTAAGTTCTGTGTATGAGAAAAGTGAGAAGCATTTCGGTGCGAAAGCAGTTAAGCTGTCTGTTGATGTTGTTCAGAGTTATAAGAAAGTCTGAGTGACAGACTGGAGTGAAACAGTCTACGTCTATGTCCTGGAGTTAAAGTGTTGCAAAGTTACCTGAAAAATCCCTGTCAGGAAGGGAGCAGATCTTGTGTGAGACACCAAGCAATTATTAAAAAGATTCACCTTACTGGTTACATTGTTATACCTTTTATTTATGAATTATTTCAATAAATCTTCTTTTATTCAAGTATGCCAACTCTGAAATAAAAACTTCCTCAATACTACATAGTTCCCCATAAGCCTTACACTCGACCTACCTACCCAGTGATAACAAAAGTAAAAGTATAATGGTTTGGAAAGCCTTAAATTTCCTGGTGGCAGCCGGATATACCCTAGTAGAACAAAATAAAGAAAACTTTTAAAGGGAAACCAGACCTCCCCAGATAAGGGGTCGTCACAGAGGCGTTTGTCACTTCTGGGACTCAGCCAGTTATTCCCTTTCAACTGGATGTTATCAGCCAAGATGTGTAGGAATTGAGTATATATGTTGTAGGCTCCAAGCAGCAACAGCTGAAACTAATCCAAGTACTTAGAGTAAGATCATGGTAAGAGAGCATCTTGTATTTGTACTACGTCCAATATGGTGTCCAAATCAGAGAGGATGTGAGGAAATGTTTTAAATGTTTTAATAGTGTTAAATGTTTTAAGTTTTAAATGTTTTGATTGTATATGAACCTTGGCACACTGTGCCAGGCAATGTGAGCCACCCTGAGCCACCCTGTGCCAGGCAATGTGAGCCACTTGCAGGGAGGGCAGGTTGTAAATACAACAAATAAATAAACTTTATACCCTAAGTGTTTAGCAAACAAATTGTAGTGGTCTGCTGAGGAGCCTTGTTGATGCTGGAGGTCCATATGAAGAACTCTGTTTGACTCACGAAGCAGCAAAACAAGGTTTGAGTCCAGCGGCACCTTTAAAACCAACAAAGTTTTATTCTGGGTATCAGCTTTTGTGTGCATGCACACGTCTTTCAGTGAAGAAGTGTGTGCACACAAAAACTTACACCCAGAATAAAACTTTGTTGGTCTGAAAGGTGTCACTGGACTCAAACTTTTGTTATATTTGACTCAGGAGAGCTCCATTGGATGGCACTATGAAATAACACTTTGCTACCGGTGCCTCCACAGACAGAATAGTTCTTTGAGAAAGCTCTCATCTGTGTTGCATCAGAAGCATTCTCAGTCCCCTCCCCCATTTTATATTCTAAGCATCATGAACACACGTGAAGCTGCTTTATACTGAGTCAGGCCCCTTGGTCAACCAAGGTCAGTATTCCCTTGGGCTGGCAGTGGCTCTCCAGGGTCTCAAGTACAGGGCTTTCACATCACCTACTACCCGATCCCTTAAACTGGAGATGCGGGCGAGTGAAACTGGGACCTTCTGCATACCGAGTAGATTCTCTACCACTGATCCACAGTCCCAGTGCTATTGGACTAATGTATAAGTTTTCCACCAGCACAGAGTTTAGTACTGTTACCACCTGAGGCTACCTTGATGCATTTAGAAGCTGAAAAGCGAGGTTTGCGAGTACAGGCTGTTCTCTCAGTCCCCAATATCTGGCATTCAAAGTATACACTTCCTGAGTGTACACAGAAATTTCAAATGAGAGACATTCCAACACACATTCTGAAACAGTACAGTTCTGTGACAAGGCTCTCATGCAAATACTAGCAGTCGGCCCGGGCCGGAGTGTGTGCATTCAAGAACTATAAACATTTCTTCAGACTTCGTTAATGTTTGTACATGAACCAACTGTACATCTAAAAACAAAATCCATCCCTCGTGTGAATGTATGCTGTGTGGCAATTGAAATGGCAGTAGACTAGAGGGAGAACTGCATTCTGAACATACATTCTCTTAACATCTTAATGGTAATTCTTATCATGTTTCAGCCTTTACCAAATGTTGTAAAGAAACGGGGTTTCTGATGGTGGTAAAATGCAGAGAAGAAAATGCAGCCCTGAAAGAATGTCTCACCGCCTAGTAAGTAACCAAAAAAGAACACTAATCTAATCCCAGCTGCTGTGCATCTTCCATTGTTTAATAGGACCAAATGGATATTGGCAAGATGGCTGTGTGTGTATCTGCATCTGGTAGTTTGTAAAATAGCATATCTAAACACAGAAGGATGCATCTCTTCTAGTATAGGTAGTACTGGCTGGCAGATACCTTTTGGGTTCACATCTCTATTTATCTGACACTTTAAAATAGGAAACGTGCTAAGCCATCATCAAATACAAGTTGTGTCTAAACTAGGGATGAGCATGGACCAAATAAATGGAGGTTCGTATGGGTTTCGTATCGTATCGGACTTGACTGTGCGACTGAACAACAAAAAATGGGTTTGTGGGTTTCATGAACTACCATGGACCTTTCCATTTAACAAACCGGTTCGTGGTTCATGAGTTCAAACCATTCCCTTCTAGCTCCCTTCCCAGTCTCTGCCTAACTTCTTCTCTCTTTCTCTTCTGATCTTCTCTCCCTGAATGCCTGCCATGAAGTAAACAGAACTGCCTATGAGCTAGGTATATATTGCAGTCTGCTCCCATAGAGCAGAATGGGAGCTCTCTTATTGTCAGCCAGAGCTGCCTGTCAAGCTTTGGAAGACCAGTATTGGTGTTTCCAGGGCTGCAGAAGGGCTGTAGAAGTCCATCCCCCCGGTTGCCTTGACACTTAATGCCTCGGCGCCAGGTTGTCTGGCCCACGGACTGCTCCCATGGACCAAACAGACCTCTGCAAATCCCATGGTAGTCCATGGTCACACAAACCGGGCAAACAGATCATGGACTGGGTCCTGGTCCATGATGAAATTTGGTCCATGGTCCAGACCGTGCCCAGCCTTAGTCTAAACTACAACGTGTGAGAAAATACATATTTTTGGAAACTAGATAAGCTCCATTTGCTGCATTAGGAAAGAACTTAGCAAAGGCTGGATTCCCACCAGGTTTTCTGTTGGTATAAGAGGGAGGAGGGGCAATGTCACTCAGCTCTCCTCATTGCTGTGGAAGGGGGGGAGGGGCCACTCCTCCCTTTTGCCCAATTGGAAAATCTGGTATGATCTAGCACATAATAAATCTACTTGGTCAAGATATGTGTAAGAGAACCATCTTGTCTTCTGTTTGCTATGACTTATGGTATTTGCCACAAAAGATACTGAAAACGCAATTATCCATACTTTGTCTGGAAGAAAATAAAAATCATTTAATTAATGGAAAAATACATTTGATGTCACTATTCTGAGATTATATTAATACATCTGAAGAAAAAGATTCAGTTTAGGGACATGGACCCAATTACTGTTGTAATAACAAAAACCTGAAATTGCCTTCTACCAGAAAATAAATATCTTGGGTTGAAAAGTGGCAAATAAGCTTTGAACAAATTGATTTTACTTCTCTCTGTTGCAATATGTGTAGATTCATTGTCAGAACCAATGGTTCTATTATTACAGAAGAGGGAAACTCATCCCCCCCCCCGCTGATCCTCTCCCCCTACGCTATCTCAGTATTCCCTCCTTCCTTCCCCCTTTGCATCCCCTGTAGCTTTTCCCTTGCCCTGCTGCCTGTCTTAAAGTGCTACAAGACTCTTTTTTTGTCCCACTGTAAGTATTGGGATCATCCCAGGTTCCCTTTGGAGCAATAAAACTAGAAGAAATTCCTTACCTAATTAGTATTCATGTCACTTTCACTAGAAAGCAGCATACTCTATTTATGCCTAACTAAATGTATATGTTTCAGTGTAAACTGTGGACACAAACACAATCTATTTATGAAATAGCGTGTGGGTTAGGTGGAGGAAGAACCTGTTCAGCTATTGCTCTGAAACATCCAGAAACTACCCCAGTTCCAAAGTTCTGTTTAGAACAGCAGGCTCAGGAATCCAAAGATTATCTATAGGCCACACTGGTTATCAGATGTGATATGCTTACATGGAATATGCACAGGAAAGGAAAGATGGCTATATTAATTGATTTCTGTATTATTTGCCATTACCTACTGTTCTTTTATATAGTTGTTGTTGTTGTTCAGTCGCACAGTCGAGTCCGACTCTTCGCAACCCCATGAACCAGCTCCCGCCAGGCCCTATTCTTTTATACAGTAGCAAGTGCAATTATGAAATTACTTCCTGTTTTGATATTTTGCCTGTCTTTCAGCTACACCAATCCAGCATTTTATGAAGAATGCAAGGCTCAATATTTAAAGCAAAGGGAAGATTTCAGAACAAAAGGAATCCGTCCTGCTCAGAAGGATCGGAGACTTCCTACTAGTATGTAGCCAACTTTTAGGTGTTTGGCAGTATTTTTTTAACCTGAACTACATATGCCTTTAAATGATGGAATAATTTAATAAAATACTCTTTTCAACCTGATCCACTTGAAATGGAGCATCAAAGTATGGCCTATTGCATGAATTCAGAAGTGCTGACACTTTATAATATGCAGCATCCTGAGAAATTACTATAAATTGAGCTTCAGCTGCTGATTACAGTAACCTGCTTCATGTTACACATGTGAATATTAGACATCAACTGGAGAGCTGTTCCTTCTGTACACAATTTCCTGCCTGAATTAGACAACCTTCCATATAGGGAGCCTGTTGCAGAACAGCTCATTTCTGTAAATAAACATGCTTTTCTATAACTTGTTAATGTACTAAATCTGGCAAGACTGAGCCCCAGGCAATAGAAATCTAGCTGTGTTGTGCATCTTTTGGGTAATGTTACTGGAGAAGAAAATCCATATTTAACTTTAAGGGCAGCATAATGTAGAAGTGACCAATTCTGGTACTTTCTTCCTAAAGAGGAAACTGAGAAGTTTCTTTTTAAATTAGAGTGGGTTACCAGACTAAGGATCAAAAGTAGGAGGGACTTTTTTACTTGATTGAAGAGGTGGAAGGTGCTTCTCTGATTCTGACCTTCGTTCTGTGTTCCTCACCTGGGACACGTTTCAGTGAGGTTATTCTGCTTTGAGGCAAGAATTCTTTTGAATACAGAAAGCTCCCTCCTACAGAAAACTGAACAGGGAGAAGTGTTCCAGCTGGCAATCTCCTTGAAAATTGCTTGAGCTTCAATTTTTTACTTATTTGTTTTGGAGGAGCATTCAGACAGCTGAGCCTTAACTTGTAGTCTTGGCTAATGCAACTGTGTCTTAGGTTTAACAGGCTGTCATGGAGATCTACTTGCTGTACCTAGTCTACCCCACTGTTTCTGTCCCTGTTTTTATGAAGGGAATGTAACAAACACTGTTACAATTGAGTAGGCTGTAGCTGTTGGCCCCGCTCTTCTCCTAATGGAGTATTCTTATCCTTAAAAAGACGACATGAACCACCCTGAGAAACAATGAGATACAAGTATACCATTTAAGACACTCCTGCACCATGCAAGGACCACTGCAGCTCTTTTTGGTAGCTGTCTGAGGGAATTTAGTCCTTTCCTGCCTCCTTGTGGAAACATCTAAAGCATCATCCAGAAGAATGGCATGGTCACACACCACCTTATGTGTCCCTCACCACTTCAGAGGCAGCTGACGGACTCAGCCCTAGTTTTTGCCACTGCCAGCTAGCCACAGAATTATCAAACTAAGTCTGAATTAGTAGGGAAGTAAATGCCTTGTGTAGTCTACTGGTGAGAATCATAGCTAATGCTGTGGGTAGGAGAGGAGGAGGAATGCAGGTAGAAAGAGATATGGTGGTTCGGACACAGATGATGGCAGGCTTTCTAATACTTTCCTTTTTTGTCCAGTGCTATGGGTTTATAATAAAAGCAAATATTGAATTAAACATACCAGAAGTTATTTTCTGCAGTTATTATAGTAACATTTCATTCTGGAGTCAATGAAAATGTTTCTTGGTGCTTTTGATTGTTCTCCCATCCTGTAGGAGCTATGAAATAACAGAAATCCCTTACCCAATTAGTATTCATCTTTCTTTCACTAGACATTACCATACCCAACTAAATGCATATGTTTCAGATCAACTGTTCTGCAGGCCAGTAAGTAGTACAATATGTAACAAGCCAGAATGGCCAAGTGACACTTATCAGAAATTTTTCAGAAGTCTGTTTTGTTTCTGTAAGTGCTGCAATTTACACATTTACAGAGGACCCTCTTTGAGCACTTCTGGGAATTGACAACTATCCAACAGGGTAGATGTAGGGTTTATGAATACAAGATACACCTCACTCTTTATTGTATTACAAATTAAGGCAGCAGCAAACTTTCAAAAACTGAGACAACCGTTAAATGCTTCCCTTATTCGCTCTAACTGTAGACTATCATGAGCCTCCTTGAGACCTGAGGTGGAAGACAGCCACTGAGGAGAAACTGGACTAGAAACATAATCCAGATTTTATACTCCCTGCTCAAAACCAGCAGCTCTTCTCCATAAAGTAGCCCCAGCACTTCAGCCCCTGTGGTGCAGTTAGAGCCAGATTTGAATGTCCACTCTGCCATGGATGCTTGGAGGACAAAGAACCATCTCAGAGAAGGGCTTAAAATTTAGCCATTTGTTTCAAGAGGCAGGGTAAGTTTAAAAAGTCAACTCTGTATACAGATCAAAGCAAATACAATTGTCCTCCTAATCCAGAATATAATTTACATGTGCTGACTTCAATGGATAAAATGAAATAATTCTTTTAAAAATGTCAGACAAGGTGGTGTAATCTGCTCTTTAAAAATACAGATTCCACACCAAGAAAAAAAATCTAATTCCACAATAGAATGTTGTACAATCAGATAATTAACATACATCTTATTTTTCATTATTTATTTTGCTGCACCAGCAGGGTGAGAGAGCAACCATCCAAAGGTTTTCAAGTCATGAGATTAGAATCTCTTAAAAGTAGAGATTTCCAGGATTTAAAATTATGCAAACATATCTAGGTCACACAGTCACAAAAAGGCCCATTTTTCAAACAAAAATAATTTATTTAAAAATATGACAATTTCTTCAGTACATTGTTCAGACATTAAGTGGGTTGGTGTGTTGGAGAGTGTTCATCATCCATGTCTCTGCAACCAAGGAAGCAGCACCGAGAAAAAACATCAGAGCTATGTAGCCACATGAGAAATGGCTTCTGCTGCTTTGTTATTACACAGGTAGTTGGTTCTATCAGCTAAAGTCTAGTGACTTGGATTTATTTTATGCATATTGGGTTCTGTTCTATTACTCTGCAGGAGATTGTACTCCCTTGAGTCTGCTATGTTCATTGGTCAGAATAAATTCCAGCATCCAACACCATTTCCATTAATCACAGACAAGCCAAGATACGTGAGCAAGATAAGAGATAAAAAACAATATCTGGTGAATGGCATGCACGTTATTTATGTATGTCATTCACTAACAGTAGAAGGCATCCTTTCTTCTTCCTCCACAAATAAAAATTCTCTCCAGGCTATATGAAAAGGAATAAAGCAGCCAGCACTGAAATCTTTGAACTGCAATGCAGGGAAAGGAAAATGTCTTTTTCTGTCACAGTACACCACTGATATGGGTATGCTGTTGAGGACTATCTTTTCACATCTCTGCAGCAGGATTTTTAAAAAATATATCGTTATCAAACAAGCTATCTTGGCCCTGATCAAATGTCACTTTTCCCTATTAATGCATCAGAAATGTTAATATAGAAACAAGGAGAAAATGATAGAAGGTATGATTTTATAATACTGGAATGATCCTGACACATACCTGCCTAGCCTGTCATTACATTGCTAGGCCTTCATCCAGCCATCCCAGAATTACAAAAGTGATAATTTGCTATTTTCTCCCTGCATCTTAAAGACAAATCAGAAAAATCTAATTCTAGAAAACTGTCAATTTACTTGCCCTGATGAAATCCACTCTTCTTTCCTTAAAGGAGGTTAATACAGATTAATAAATTTTAATATTAGATCTTAACTACAAACTATCTAATCAATAATATAGCATTTAATTCCAGACTACTTTGTATAAGCCATGTTGGTTAGATAAGAGCAGCAAGGAGCATAGAAATATCTGAATAAGGAGAGACTGTTTTGATACCCAAGGACATAATGTTTTGGACATTGGACACTAGTGAATGTAATACAGTAGTTATGTGTTATCAAAAGAGTAAATGCTTTCGGATGGTTCAAGTTCTGCCTACTTATATTAAGGCATCTGGAGGTTTCTGTATCCAAGCAAAGTTATTGGTCTTAGAAATTATAAAGTGAAGGTTTTGGTAACTGGCAGATTAGGCACCCAAGTGATCACTGCATTTTAGATAGGCCTCAAGAGGCAGCAGTGTATACAGAATGCCATTTGTGAGAAGATCACAGAATCTGGCATGTTTTTAAGAGATTCTCAGTTCCTCTCAGGGTAAAGGATTCTACTACCTCAAAACCTTCACAGTAAGGCTGATTAGAGTGGATATACACTCTCAATAAGGATTCCTAATAATTTGGCTTAGTACACACATCATCATCATTTTGTCCATTCGCGTTTTCTTCTCAGAAGATGCCACACATCATGGAAAAACCAGGTTCAGATCTGGAGGTAAAAACTAAATCACATTCCAACTTCATGCTTTACCTGAGAAGCCCAAGAAGGAGAGACTGTCCAAAAAGAGCTTGAAGGACTGTCTGAACATACTGTATTTCAAAGCAAAGTTATTCACACAGTTAGCTGCAGTGTACGGCTTTTGTTTTACTCAGAAGTTTAATACTCTAGCAGTTCGCAGGTGTGCAATCAGAAACATCAGGGCCGACTTACGTACGCTAGCCTTACATCAAACATCATCCCTTAGACTTCAATGGACCACTTTCAATGTCACACTACAGTGGAAAAATTAAGATCCAGCTTGGATTACTTATGACACTGTCACCATGTTCTTTCCCATTAGCTATTTGCCTCTTACGCATACAGGAGCCTATCAAGTTCCTCCTAAAGCTCTTAGCTCTTGTGCAGGCAGTTTTGGTTACACTGATCCAAACTGTTTTCTGAAAAGTTTAAGTGAGACATTTTACTTTTCATTTCCCAAAACATTGTCTCACTAGGTTTTGGAGGGCTTGGGAAGACCCAAGAATTATCTTCCAGAGAGCTCTTTCCATAAGAGTTATGTTCTTGAAAGGGAGAGTTACAGACTGGGCTAAGTCTCTCATCAGTACAGGATGGGGAAGACACAGCACTGCTGAAAACTTGTTCATTTGGTACAAGTAGCCTCTTCTTAAATGCTGCACTGGAAGCAGCAAAATTTTCAAGGTCTTCAATACATTGAACAGGTGCACAGGACGACACTGCAGAAAACACAGCAAATTATCAACATTTAGTTAACCTAGTTGGTCTGCACATTAGATCCATCTCCCCATCAATATCAGATTTAAGAAACTCATGGAACTGTCCATTTGTTTGGCTTTAGTATGACTCTTTTTTCAAGAACCTCAGCAATTCACGTTTGGTCCTTCAACTTCGAAATGAAGGACATCACTCATATCCCACAACATGGAGGGATACGTCCAATGCCATAAGGAATGTGTGTCTTCTGGGGATAGAAGGCAACGAAAGTTAAGGAATAGTCTGCTCAAGCCAAGTGCCTTCTGGAAGACTGCTTGTTCCTCCGCAAGCAGCTCTCTGACTACTTCCTGCTGGGTCTGCACACAGAGTAGCACTGCCTAAGTCCTAAACTTGTATGTGCCCGAAGAAAATCTGGCTTTTGATTAATCAAAAGTACATCTAAGTTTTAGAGGTAGTGGAAATTATTTCTCTCCATCAAAAGTCCCATTCCTTGGGAGATTAAATGGACGATTCAGAGATCCAGCAAAGTTCCCTAACATATAACGCTTCCACTGCAAGTTTAATAATGCTCGATAAGCTCTTTTTTATATAAAGCCTAAAGCAAGATTAACCCTTAGGCTCTCTATATGGAACTACTGGGTTGACTCTGTATACCTTGAAGACAGGATAAAAATGCATAAACAGTCCCAGTGTAAGATTATATTGAGCCCTTTTATAACATACAGTTTTCAGGAGTACCAAAGTGAAGAGGACAGAAGTGACCAGACCTAGCCTCACCTATCAATGAAAATGGAAACTCTTTTAGTAAAGCATGCTTTCAAGGAGCTGCTTTGGCACATGGGATCAAACCCCATGATTGGGACTGGAACAAAAAATGTCTTCCATGAGCAGGATGACCTTCTGGATGCAACCCATAAATAACATTTGTGACTAATTTACATATTTCCAGATGATAAAGAGCCACATGCCTTATCCACAAATGGCTCATAGGCAAAAATTAACTTTCAGGTGCTATACTTCATACCAAATATCAACCCCATGGGTAATCACACTGGATGATCTCATAGTATTTAGGATTGGTATATGGGTGCTAGAAAGAAACAGGCAGGCCAAGACTTTTCATATATGTACACACATACATTCATGTCTTTGTCCAGTTATTAACCTACATGGAGATAACCCACTATGCACTACAAGTGTCTTTTGCATATTAATTTCACAATGTACGGAGTGAGCTAAGGATTAAAGAATTATCCCAGTAAAAGGTTAAAAATGTAGTATGCTCATTTTTGATAAGAGCACTTCTAAAGGACTGCATTTGAAAAATGAAATATCTGTGGTGCTTTTTCTAATATGAAGTAGTTGTGGTAAAAGGTCAAATGCAAGCAAACTTAACACCTCAGCCTCATACGAATAAGCAACACTTGAGTGAGGAAAAAAGCCACAAGGGGAAGAGAATACAGCATAAAAAAACCCCATCAGCAACACCTTTATGTGTGAAGTTGACCAGTATGAGACAGAAGCCAAGGCAGAAAATGGGAGGCTGGAACTTTAAAAAAATGGGGGTTTGTCAGCATCAATTGATGAGGTTTGGGTAAGAAATACAATAGCTAGAGCTGCACACCAGAAAGGCACAGCTTAGGTCAGTGGTTTGTGTTCTCAAGACCTTATCTTGCAAACTCTGACTTGCCTTTCTTTGTTGCAGATGGGATCAGTTTCAGCTTTCTCAGCACTTCGGCTTGCACTTCTGTCACCAGATGTAGATTAGACATCTCCCTCTTCAGTTCCCAGTATGCTTGCTGAAGGCTTTCACTGAAACACATTTAAGTTAAATTTCATCAGTCTTATAACTCATGTAGCCACTATGCACTGCAAAACATTTCTCAAAATGAAAGTAAATTATTCTATTAAATCTTACTGTGGCCCACTGCAAAAAACAAAAGAAGTGATTGCTTCAATGTACAAGTAGTAAGGGCTATTTTAAAGAGCTCAGATTTCACCAGGCTAACTTCATTAGCTGGATTTTTCAAGTGCCCCTCCTATAAAAGGATGTTTTAAAAAGCAAGAGTATGAAACAGAATAGTTAACATCTGGTGTAGCACAGTGTGAGCTAGAAAACTATAAGTTAAAACTACTTTGTTAAGATCTACCTAGTTCAGTCTTACATTTCCAGGTGAAATGAGGGAGGACAATGGCTGTCCTCTAATCAACTGCCCCAACACCTAGTGTTCAGAAGTATGTTCCCTATGTACATAAGTTCTGTTTCACCATCACTGTTTATTTAGCATTCTAGCCCTCCTTAAATTTGTTTATCTTTTAAAACTCTAAGCTGATGACCACTATGTCTTGTAGTAGTCAGTATCCTACAAGCCTCTTTTCAATTACTGCACAATCAGGCATTTTGTCATCATATCATCTCCAAACATGAAGCCAGTTATTTCATAACTGGGTGGCAATCGTTTGAATAAAAACTTTTACCAATACGGAATGTTTTATATAAGTCAAAGGAGATGTAATAAATCCACCCAAAATGGTCACAATTAATATGCAGTGTTTTATTTATTCACAACATTTGCTTACTGTTTTTCAACTGTAATGAGACAGGGAGAAAATACTCCCTTCTCCCATCAGAGAATCTCCTGTGCCACTGACAAATATGCAGTTACTAAGAATATTAAGAATAAGGCCCATTGTGGAAATAAATACAACGAGCTCTAGAAAGAGGCTCTGGGAGAGTGCCCTGGCTTTGGGCACTCAGTGTCAATTTGCTGTGGCGACCTCAGCAGGGTATAATGACACAAAGTCCACCATTTTCTCTAGAGGAATTGATCTCTGCTACCTGAAGAGCAGCTGTAATTTTGAATGATCTCCAGCTCTCACCTGGATATTGGCAACAGTGGTTCCCCAGGGGGGAATGGCTGGTTTGGAGCGTGGAGTCTATGGCATTGTACCTGTTTGAGGACCCACCCCTCCTCAAACCCCACCCTCTCCAGGCTCCACCCCTCAAATCCACAGGAGTTTCCCAACCTGGAGTTGGCAACCCTATCTCCTTTCCAGGCTATCATCAACCTACCTTTATCTGTCCCTCTGACTTTAGCTTTCCATCTCCTCCCCCCTCCCTCCTGGACAGCAGCTGTAATTTTGAATGATTTCCAGCCCCCACCTGGAGATTGGCAACAATGTTTCCCCAGGAGGGAGTGGCTGGTTTGGAGGGTGGAGTCTATGGCATTGTACCTGTCTGAGTTCCCACCCCTCCAAACTTACTGTCTCCAGGCGCCATCCCTCAGGAATTTTCCACCTGGAGTTGGCAACCCTATCAGGACTGGCCCCAATGAGTTTTCTCCCAAAAGCCAAAATAGGTGTGGAAAGGGCCATTTACTGACAGAACCAAGCTTGGTTGCCTACCAACAGGCACTGAGGGGAATGTAGGGTTGCCAGCTCTGAGTAGGGAAATACCTGGAGATTTGGGGGGTGGGTCCTGTTGAGGGCAGCATTTTTTGGGGGGGCAGAAGGACATAATGCCATAGGGTCTACCCTACAAAGCAGCCATTTTCTCCAGGGGAACTGATCTCTGTCATCTGGAGATCAATTGTAACAGCAGGAGATCTCCAGGTCCCACCTGGCGATTGGCAACCCTAGGAGAAAGTCAGCCGCACAGCAGGGGGTTGAAGAGAATGGTTTGATGCCACTGGCCCACCTTATTAGTCAGCCAGCCATGGTGGAGCCAAGCAGGAGAGAGAGCCGTTTTCAGTTTATTCTGACAGCAAAGTGGCCAAGCTGGCAGTGGGTGGGAGAGGGGGTTACGCTGAACCAAGCTTGGTTGCCTACCATTAGCCACTGAGGGAAACGTTAGTCCCACAGAGGAGCCAAGCAGTAGAAGTGTCTTCGTCAAGGAAGAGAGAGCCGTCTGTCAGTTATTCTGACAGGCAACAGTGGCTGAAGTGGGAGTGGGCGGGGAAGAGGAGCAGACCCAGCACCTGGCCAATGGCACATGAGTACTCTTCAGTAGTGGCTGACGCCCCAATGGCTGACGGAACCACACTGCACAGCCAATGGGAGAGCTGGAAATGGCAATACGCTAAGAGAATTATTATATAGAGATTAGGTAAGTAAATATTGACAGTGATATTGAACCAAAAGATAATTGCTACAAACACACTTCAAAGAACTTCCTCTAGGTGTGAATGGAGCTTGTTTTCACAATCAGTGTGAATTACATAAATTAGTTTTCCAATGTAAAACGTGTATGATAATTTACATAGAGGACTGTTACCAGAGACCTCCTTTTAAAAATAAATTTTCTCTAATAGAGCTGATAACTTCTTTTACCGAACAGTGACATTAAATATTGTTCCAAAAGAGCAAATATTTGATAACTAAGCTGAACAGCTACAAAGAAAGGTACACTTGGTAGTTACTAACGTCGTGGAGGCCCAGTGAAATGAATGCTTGCAGTCCACTCCGGCTCACAGCTCTGCTTCCTTGGCTTTCTCTCATGCCAGACACAAAATAATTATCAATTGCCTCTTTTAACCAAGTCCTATTTCTCCCTCATGTGGAAAATAAAGAAAATGTAGAGCTGGGGACAGGAAACAGAGAAGTGATATTACAGTCCTTGAGGCCTGTCCTTGGTGTGCCTCTGACTATGCATTACTTTGCCTGGAAATGACTACTCTGAAGGGAGAGGTCGCTATGGTGCTCACAGTACTGTGTGTTTTATGTGTGTTTATGGAGGAGCAGACAAGTAGTATTGCAGACTGCAAGCACTGCTGGCGTTATCTCAGGAACCGCAGTTTTTTCTTGTGGCATTCATGATTATCAGGCAAGGCAAGAGGTCCCTCCCAGCTCTACGATTCCAAGATCCTATGATTCTTGAAAAGCAAGACAAACCTCCTGCAGCATTTCAAATACGGAACAAGAAATAATACATATCTATATAAAGTTTTACACATATTCCAATTTGTTAAAGCACAGATATGGTTAGATACAAGCACTGGAATCCCCAGGCTGTCACATAATGGTTCACTGATTCTTATCTCAACATAAACTCAGCTTGGTTTCATCAATATTTGGTGATGACTAGAGGCCTTCGTAAAGATCAGCTACTGTTCCACCTCTTCCTCCCAATGGTGCATGTTAGTCTACGTTAGGATCACTGCTCATAATTCTAATGGGTTTTGTAACACAAACAATTTCATAAATTACCACCCTAAATAAATCCCCATCTAAAGGCGGTGCCATTTTAGGAGCTGCGGTGGCTCAAGTGGTTAAGACGCTGAACTGCAGGCTGTGGAAGGTCGGTAGTTCAGCAGTTCGAGACCCAAGTTGCCGCATGATGGAGTGAGCTCCCGTCTCTAGTTCCAGCTCCTGCCAACCTAGCAGTTCGAAAGCAAGAAATTGCAAGTAGATAAATAGGGACCACTTTGGTGGGAAGGTAACAGCGTTCCGTGCGCCTTGGTGTTTAGTCATGCCGGCCACATGACCACGGAAACGTCTTCAGACAGCGCTGGCTCTTCAGCTTTGAAACGGAGATGAGCACCGCAACCCTAGAGTCGGACTCGACTGGCTTTTGAGCAAGGGAACCTTTATCTTTAATTCAGACTGGGGATTAGTGGCAAGGATTAAATTTATTCATTTGTTGCATAACAAAACTGTTAAAAAAAATAAAAAATGCATGAGATTGTCATACCTATGAATGTTCTCGGGTTGCAAAAATTCTCCATTTAGTAAAGTTCCTTCGTGAGAATGAGCCTGAAAAGAACAAACATTTCACAACTGATTTTTGTTACTTGAAGAAGTGAGCAGTGACTCACAAAACCTCATTCCCTGCCACCAGTTTTATTAGCCTTGAAGGTGCTATTGGACTCTTGCTCTTTTCTACTGCTACAGACAGACTTACATGGCTACCTGGCTTGGGAAACCCCGTTATGCCTTTCTAAGTAACATACAGTTTAATGGAAAGCACAACTGGCAGCAATTCAATGAACACAACTCCCATTGCTATGTCTGGTCTGGAGACAGGCATAGCAATGAACTGGGGGGGGGGGGCCTTAAACATTTTTTCACCTGAGGGGATTTACAAGCTGTATCACCTGAGGTGATCCAGGCTTTAAGTGTCCATGAAGGCAGAACCAGGGAAGCAAAGCACTTATGAAAAATAGAAAGCTATTTCCAAATTTCATTATTTGATCAGGATTTCCTGAAAAATCACAGTTGCTAACTACATTTCTTAATTTTTTATAGTATACAGCTTTGAGTAATTATGATTCTAAACTGACTCCAAGGAAACTCGAGCTACAATGTGGTGTGAATTGAGGAAATTAAAAAGGACGGCAGTTCAATAAACGGAACAAGTGATAAAGTGGTGGGTTAATTAGTTTCTGTAGAGAAACAAATGGAACAGAGGATTGTTGATGAAAAATGCTACTGAAATCATAAGGAGTAGCAATAATTACTTGCCTACTTCAGAAAAATGTGAACTGCAAATTGAGAAATATCAGTTCTCCCTGCAGTTAAACCCAGACTAAACTCAACTCTTTCCACTATCTTGCATTTAGCACCATCTAGTGGAGTTTATTTAAATATACACCTGTAATCTAGTTTCTTCTACTTGAGAAACCTTAAGACTAAGGGCAATTCTGCATTGGCCCTCCGTTGTTTTACCAAACCCACCTTGGAACAGAAATTCCCCTCTGCATTGCATGCTGCTTTCACTTTCTTTGATCATTGGTTTTATGGTACCCTCTACACTGCATGCCGCTTTCACTTTCTTTGATCATTGGGTTTTATGGTACCTTCTGCATAGATTTATGGCTGTTCAAGATTGACTTTGCAGTCAGTACAGCATTGCCCCGGGGTATGTGAATGTGGTTTTGAGCTGCACCTTTTCCTAAGTGTTGAGAAAATGTGGAGCAAATGACAGATGCAGAATCGACCTAATTCACACTGCTTTCAATGGAACCCACAAGGTAACCAGCTATTTAGGCTATTAGAAGGAATGTTATAAACTAGTTTTATAGGATTAGCTGCATATGTTAAGGGTTATTTTGCTGAAATATGCAACTAATAATCTAACAAACTCAAAACTTTCAAGATACTGCAAAAGTAATAGTGCAATCCTAAACAGAGTTGCCCTCTTCTGAGCCCACTTAGTCAAGATCTAACTATCAGGATATCAGGATTACGTCATAAAAGGGTCTCAGTCCTTTCATACACGTCACTAGTGAACATTAACACAACACTAGTTTTGGAACAGGTGTAATGAAACGGCAATTAATTCCCCCTTTGGCTATGGCTTCAAACACAGTTTACAATCTAACGTCTGGTAACAACTTCTGCTGTTTACATTTATATGGGGTTACCTTGGAAGTGTCTAGAAACTTCAATTAGTGTAAAACACAAAAATACAGTGGAAAGAATTGTACCTGAAACTGACCAGGATGACTACATACAGAGGACTGCACTGGTATTGAATTAACATACACTGCCTTCACCTATTTGAACCAGCCCAGGATCCAAGATATTGGTAATCCCACATTATCTTAGGTAAAACTGGCAGAAAAGCTTTTAGGCTGCTGCCCCTACATTATGGAATGCACTGCTGTCTGAGGGACCTTTGGTAGGCCGCTGGCCTTCCTGCAAGATGTGAACGCCTTTTTTGGAAAGCCCTCAATATGGAGTAATTTACTTAAATTACTGTTGTACACTGAGCTTACTGCATCTGATATAATTATGTATGGTTAGTCTGACATCTGTAGTGTGGTTGTTCTGTTTTAATTGTAAATCACTTTGGGTGCTTTGTGAAAAGCTGAAAGGTGGGGTTTGACTAGTTTCTTTGAACAATCTAGTCTAGTTAGGTGAATGTCGTGGGGGCCTCTATTAGAACTTGGAAATATATCGTATGCAGCCTTCTTCCCATTAAGAATACAGGTGCACTCAAAAAGGCTCTTCATTTTAAGCAGTGTATTGCCTTTTTATGGTTATTAACATGTGTCCATTTTCCTTATTCAGTTCCATTAGTTTCAATTATAAATATTTCATTCATACCTTTAGGGGTAACTAGTTTTAAAGAAGAATGAAAATGGACCCGGCTAGGATTACCAATGGCAGTGAAAACATTTAATTTGTATTGTCCCTCCACCCTTAAGCTTGTGATGCAGTCATACACCCAACACGGTAGAAAGAAGTAGCTATGAGAGCAATCCTCTTTAATGGCAAAATCTGTGTCCTGTTCTGATCTGCAAATGTCCCTGTTATTCTTTTATGTGCTGAGTCATGCATCTCTCTATTTCCCTTCCTTCTGATCCTCTTGAGCTCTAAGCAGACAGCAAGAATATGGATAATGGCCACATCTGAATGTTTGAGTATTACTGTTATTAACCTTACCAGTTGTATTGATTACAACAATGTTAAATAATGGAGTTACTCACTTTGGAACTAGCTAAGGTGTGACAACAGCACCTCATTAAAGCAAAACACTAAACCTTGGCCAGAGTAAGAAAACACACGTTGTGCAAGAGATTCTCAACTGGTACCACTTTTCCTCTTAACAAATGGTTTGGAGCCAGCAAAGCACAGAACTAGCTCCACATGCCTAAGGGGGAGCTTGGAGTGTAGTTCTTAAAAAGTGGTCCCCCACATCACATGGCAAACTCCTTTTGAATCAAAAGGACTTCAAAAGCCATTTACGACATGACATGGGGACAGGTGGTCTGCTGTGCAGACAGGGCAAAAAGCACCTGTGGGCATTCTTAAAGGAATAAAACAATTGGGATATAGTTCATAACATTAAATTGTACAAGTATAACTAAACTTTATAATTTCACACACCCTCCGCACTTTTTTGGTATCAGAATGCAAAATGCAGTAGTACCTTCCATATAGATTTTTTTAATTCTTTTCTAAGATCATTACATTCTTCTCTCAGTTTCTCTAAATCTGTCTCCAAACTGTGCACCTTAAGAGCATTATTCAGCTTGTCTATTTCCCAGCTGGATGGATTACAAGTCAGACTCTTCATCACTTTCAAGATAAAAGAAAAAACTGGTTATTCAGTCGCAATACAGTCCAGCACTAAGGAGTGTGGACTTATTTTTTAACAAGTTATGAAATAAGACATCTTAACATGTAATTAATTCACTGTACAATGTGTCACGTGTTAATTTTCCCTACAAAAACCGTAATGGACTACCAAAAATTATTTCATTCTCTTCTCCACACACTACCAGAAACAAAACAAATCCACGCTTTTATAAGAGAATGTGGGTTACCTCTAAATTTCACATGTAAAATATGTAAGGGCAGGAATATTTTGCAAAATGAAATGTCTTGTCTGGCTAATTTATGCATCTAGAAGTAGAAACAGCTTACCTGTTAAATCTAGCAGGCTTTTAAAAATGGCACTACTAAAGGCTTTCATGCATGACCTCCTCATAGTTAAAATGTATAAGAAATTGTAGGCTTAGAAGAAGCCCTGATTGGATAAAAAGAGCTTGCATTGGAATTACCTCACAGGATCAGATGAGCAGTATATGCATCCAACAGTGATCAATCAGATGCTTCTGGAAGTTTCCAAGCAAAATATGACGGCCCACATCCATTCCCAGAACCACTGTGTCCATGAGTGTGTGTATTAAAGACAATATAACTAATAGCCACTGATAGACCTGTGCTTCACAAATTTGGATACTCCTTTATAAAAGCCACTTTAAATCTGGTACCCAGCCCAAGTACAAAATACAATAAAATGGGTAGCTCGTGATTTCTTTATGCATCTTACAACTGGAAACTAAAAGGTGGGGAAAAAGAACACCACCTCCCCCAGTACAATCCACTCGTTCCTTTCTGTAGGTTCTTTATCTAGAGATACACTATTTGAACCAGTTTCTGGATATCCGCAGAATATTTATAATGCTAATGCACCCATCTTCGTTTTCAGGGTTCCAATATCATCAGATGAACACCTAGCTATTTTAGCTGTCACTTGAGTGTGTAGTGTTTATTGGCAGGAATTATTTTCTGTGTACTTGCAAGTCAACTTCTTTGTTCTCAAAGGAAGGACAGAACACTAAGATCATCCTCCTTGAGATATGAGGACAACTGCTCTCCAACCAGATGCTTCTCAGAATCTATATTCTTCTCCTTTGGCCCACACACACCTTAATAAGCTGTCTAAATCTTTGCTTTGGGGCTGCACACAGAACATGCTTTTCAAATAGCTCCCTAGAGCAATTCACCTCCCATGCCTAGGGAGTGAGTACATAGGATAGTTTGGAGCAACACCTGGCCACTTGAGCAGTTGTGAAAGGCCCAAGGTCCACATGACAGCCTTTTCCAGCAGGAAATCATCCTGTCATTAGGAAAACTACTAGAGAAGGAAGATTTTGCATGGTCCTTGCATTAATACGAAGATGCAGACTCTAGTTTCATCATATAGCTTCTGTTCTCTTCTGCCACTCCAGAACCATCTCCTGTAGCTTTGTTCTCTAGCCCTGCTATAGCAGGGTTGATGCCTGATGCCCACACTTCCATCCAGCCTTCACCCTTGGAAGAGGCCATTCCAAGTTCCAGCACTCTTCAGGGGGGAGATACTGTGATGGCTCAGCAGGTAACCTCTGTTCACACTCTTGTTCCCACCAACAACAATGTTAATGTGACCCTAAGTAATCCTGCCACATTACTTAGCACCGCTCCCCCAACACTAGTTATTAAGTAACTGGTGGTTTCTGCTGGAGATAGTGTACAGGTGACCCTTCCAAAGAATGATGTGGAGCTGAATGCATATGTCTTGCCTCTACCAACTGAAGGAAACACCTACTCTTATGAGACTGATCACCCATCCCACTGATTATAGCAGAGAGATGGAGGGCAAGCATTCACAGATCCTCAAGTTATCCAAGCTCACGGTTGGCCTGTATGAATTCAAGGTAATAGTCGAAGGTGATAATGCACATGGGGAAGGAAGAGCGAACGTGACAGTGAAGCCAGAGCCACAAGTAAATCAGCCCCCTGTGGCTATTGTATCTCTCCCATTCCTGGAGATCTCACTGCCAACCACCTCTACGGTAACTGACGGCTGCCAAAGCACTGACGATGACCGGATTGTCAGCTACCACTGGGAAGAACTGATGGGACCTCTGCAGGAAGAGAAGGTATCTGCAGATACTCCTATTCTGGAACTGACTAATTTGGTACCTGGAAACTACATGTTCGGCCTCACTGTGGTGGACTCGGTGCCAGCATCTCCACCACCACCAGCCTGACTGTAAACAAAGCTGTGGATTACCCACCTACGGTAAACATCTTATTAAACAAGAAGCAAACACCCTCTCCATAAATAGTATCAAGCTATTTGTAAAGAAAATGCTGATGCTACACAGACATAATGAAAATGATGTCACCAGCAAATGCCATGACACTTAGCTTCGCTTCTACTTAATGCAGTGCAACATAATTTTGTTAACGGAGAGCAAATGCATTAGCTGAACAAGTGGTAAGCCACAGAGTTCTGCACACTGTAGTCAGATGTGTACAGCTATATCCTATGCGAGACAATGTGCACCTTGTTGCGTTTCCACTTCAGTTTTCAGCTGTAGGAGCTCCACTTCTTTAGACTGCAACTGCTCATTCATGAGTTTCAATGATTCTGTGCTCTCTTTCATCTAATTTGAGACAGGAAATATTGTCAAGGCTTGCCAGTTGTTAAACCCTACATTCCTGAATTCTCAGACTATACAATCACTTAGCCTGGCTCTTCATGAAGAGAGGGCCAAGCTGTCAGATGTTTGTTTTCTATTGTTTCTAAAGTAGTAACAAATCATAATGACAGATGCCACAGCCTTGCACTCTATGAAAAGTGTGAAAGGGCACAACACCAAACCCCACCATTACCTAAACATGTCAAGCTGAACTCAATTTCCTGGAATGCCTTCCAATATTATTTCAAATTTTCCTGTTACAGTTTTCTTTGCTTTATCTGTTCTCTGTTTTCTTAGGCATAAGAGGACCTCAGTTGTAGGTCCTAGTATAATTATTAACAATAGCCCTTTTTTAAATCTTGCCACATGCAGCATATTGTGACTCCAGAATGCTTCAGTAATCTGAAACCTCTGTGTCACATTTATAATCTATTTATATAGCCAACTGCTTCTCATTTTCTTTGCTTCAAAGGGGTGTACACTTATTCAGAAATCAACATCCTGGACAAACAGCAGTATCATTTCCAAAGTCTAATACTTCACTTTTGTTTTAGATTTCTCTCTCCAAAGAAAAATGTAAATTACCAAAAAAAATTAAAAATCCACACACTGGCTATTATCCTAATACATTTTAAGTACTTTTAAGTCTGATTTCTATGGGAAATTTAAGAATATTCTTAATTCCACTGAAATCAACAAGATTTCAACGCTTAGTTCATCTCTCTCACACAATGTTTTTAATAACTAACTGACCCAGTGTCCAGGTCTCATCTCACCAGCTCTCTAAAAATCACAACAGCCTTTCTATACCACACCCACATGCCATGCTACATTCCTCTGAGGTTTCTGCATAAACATACCATCTTATCAAGTTTACTTTTCAGATTATCTCGTTCAATACAAGCCTCTCGGTATGCTTCGTAGGCTTTGTTAACCTGCTCAGGGCCTACAGAGCTTGTGGTTTCTTCCACACGGGAGCCAAGAAGCTAAAAAATTAGAGATATGTACTGAGGTTACAGGTTCACTATTAGCCAAGTGCTGTCAAATTTAAAATGTAAGTTAAATAGTATTGTTAAACTAAATTTTGACAGTTTCTTTCACAGCATTAAGCAATGGTACTTATTTTGAAAAAATGAGCTCCCCTTCCTTTCTAGTTATTTTATCCATTGCTAAAGAAAAGCATATATAAGCATACAAAAGCATTTTTTTTCTTTTTTAGAATTTTAACAATTACTGTCCTAATACACTTTAGCTCACTGTTAGGAGGGGAAAGCACAACTATGTAACATTGTTAGAAAGCTACTTACCTTTTCTTCTAGCCATTTTACTCTTTTCTTTAGCAAAGAATTGTCTCTTTCTGTCTCCTTCAGTCGTTTTTTTATATCTTCATAAGCAGTGACAAGAGCAAAATGTGAAGCAACAGATTCTTCTCCTGTATACATTGGAATAGGAATTTCGCCATCTCTCTTATGATGAGTGTCCGCTTTTTCATGATTCAAAATATCAATATCATCTTCAGCTAGTTCATCCATGACACCTGAATAAAATGATAAAACCACTCCACATACTTTAAAAGGTACTGACAGTAAACCACTTCATAATATCATGTTTCCAGATGTTTTACTAAAAATAAAAAGTAGGGGTAATCTGAGTTGGAGGAGCTGAGGTGGCTCAAGTGGTTAAGACGCTGAACTGCAGGCTGTGGAAGGTCAGTAGTTCAGCAGTTCGAGACCCGGGTGCCGCAAGACGGAGTGAGCTCCCGTCTCTAGTTCCAGCTCCTGCCAACCTAGCAGTTCGAAAGCAAGAAATTGCAAGTAGATAAATAGGTACCACTTCGGTGGGAAGGTAACAGCATTCCGTGCACCTTGGTGTTTAGTCATGCCGGCCATATGACCACCGAAATGTCTTCGGACAGTGTTGGCTCTTCGGCTTTGAAACGGAGATGAGCACCGCAACCCTAGAGTCGGATTCGACTGGCTTTCGAGTAAGGGAAACCTTTACCTTTAATCTGAGTTGGGCAACTGAAAGGCTATGGGGCTGGATCCAGTCTGAATTTCCATCAGCAGCATGGAACTTTCCTGCCTCCCCCCTCCCCCTAATCTCCATAAAATGTGTAGGGTTGCCAACCTCCAGGTGGTAGTTGAAGATATCCCGCTATTACAAGTGATCTCCAGGCAACAGAGATCATTTCACCTAAAGAAAATGGTGGCTTTGGAAGGTGGACTCTGTGGCATTATACCACACTGAAGCCCCTTCCCTGCCCAAACCCTGCCTTCCTCAGGCTCCACCCCCAAAATTTCCAGGTATTTCCTAACACAGTGCTGGCACCCCTAAAAATGCTGCTCCTGGAGTATAGTGAATCCCAAGGAATGACATTGGGGGGAGGTTAACGGTGGTAAGATGGATCAGTGGAGACTGCCTATCTACTCTGGATCTAACCCAAAGGGTTTCAGGAGCATATAATGCTAGCGTTTTATTGAACCTTTACTCTCAACTAGTAAGTTAATTTTTTTTTTGCCTCTAGTTTCAATTTCAGTTTTGCTGTTGTCTGAGATAAGGTTGCCAGCCTCCAGGTGGGGCCTGGGGATCTCCTGCTTTTACAACTGATCTCCAGCTGACAGAGATCAGCTCCCCTGGAGAAAATGGCTGCTTTGGAGGGAGGACTCTATGGCATTGTACCATGCTGAGACCCCTTCCCAAATCCCGCCCTCTCATGGATCCACCCCCAAAGTCTCCAGATATTTTCCAACCCAGACAGGGCAACCCTAGTCTGAGATAAAACAATTTAGATCCGGTTTTGGTTTAGGACAAATTCTGAACAGCAGCATCTTATTTAAACAGATATCCTAGAGTACAGAGGGGGGGAACAGTAGTCCAAGGGAACTTTCGCATAGTATAAAATCTTTTTGTGCTGTTTGTATAATTTATTGTTAAAGTAATCTCTATATAATAATCCTTTTAGCATATTGGCTGTTTCCAGCTCTCCCACTGGCTGTGCAATGTGCTCCATCAGCCATTGCTCGTCAGCCGCCACTCAAGAGTACTTGCTTGCCATTGGCCGGGTGCTGGTCTCCTCCCCCTCCCCGCCCACTCCACTTCAGCCACTGTTCCCTGTCAGAATAACTGACAAACGGTTGTCTCTCGTGATGAAGACATTTCTCCTGCTTGGCTCCTCTGTGGGACTAACTTTTCCCTCAGTGGCTGTTGGTAAGCAACCAAGCTTGGTTCTGTCAGTAAAAAGACAAAGAAAGGAAACTCTTTCCAGGCTTTTGTGAGGAACTCATTGGGGCCAGTCCTGACTAGTGTTGCCAGCTTTAGGTAGGGAAATTCCTGGATCTTCTGT